AGGACCAGGCAGTGTTTCATTCTGTTGTGCATAGGGTCACTATGAGTCAGTACCAACTTGATGGCAGCTAACAACAACAGCCTTCAATCCTCAGGGCTTACCCAGTGACTAAAGGGTCTTTCAGGGGCTCTCATTCCAACCAGGACATCAGGTAACCTCCATTTTCCGAGGTTTATGGCTTCCAGCCTGCTTCTATGTAGACACCCAAAGTCCCGACCTCCACAAAGTTCACACCCCCTTCCTCAACTGCAGGCCACATACCCCATTATTTCCTTTATGCCTTTTGAGCCCGGGCAACGTCTAGTGTGAAAAATATATTTGAAAAAATAGTGTCTAGTGTGTGAGCCAGCCAAGAGGGTAAAAATAGTGGTAGAGAAGGAGCCAGTGGCCAAGGCCAGGCGTTGAGCAAGCGGGGGAATGCGGTCTGACTCCTTTCTCAACATGAGGGGCTCCTCCGGTGTTTTAAACCCTGGCCTCCAAGCAGTTGCTGTCCTGCAATGGGTCTTCTCTTTCTTGGGGCTCAGTGATGCCACTTAGCCCAGGGAACCCCGCACGTGGAGCTCTGCTTTCCTGTTACTCAGAGCAGGTGGTATCTAGGGAAGACTTGAAGGAGTCTGGGGGCGCAGATGGAATGGAACCAGGAGAGCAGACCCAGGGTGTTCAGTCTGAAGTACCTAGTCCTGAGCTACTGCTCTCGCCCCTCCCCTCCCAGCCCAGGTGTGCCTCCCGGTGCTCCTGTTTGCTCTCTAGGCCAGGCCTGGCTCCTAGTGGTCCTCTACCTGGTCTAGAAACACAGAGATACTGTGGGTTGGAGGCTGCTGCTCTGCCTGGGAAGTCTGAAGACATTTTTGTGACTTCTCTACCTCAGTGAGGGCACCAGAACAAGGTGGTGGGGGCAAGTTCGAACAGATTCTTGATAAGATCTCACACACACGCACACCTCAATTCCACCTCACTGCAAAAGCAATGCAAAACAGGGGCACCTGCTTTCCAAAGCAAAGATTAAGAGTTTCATAATCCAATTCATCTCTGTCCATCAATAATGTTTTAAATGTCACATTTTAAAAGAAGTTACATCATGGATAGCTAAGGCATACAAGTAAAACATACTCATTGTTGTTAAGTACCCTCCAGCCAATTTCTAGTCATAGCCACCCTGTATAAGGTTTCCAAGGAGCAGCTGGTGAGTTTGAACCACCCACCTTGTAGTTCACAATCCAAGGCTTATCCTACAGCGCCACACCAGGACTTTTAATACTCATATATAGCCGTTTATAACTCACATAACCCATTCAAATACGTGAGTAAGCAGAGGACCACAAGCCTTAGTCCAGCCTGCTTCTGGGCCCCTGCTCGCAGAAACTGCAGTTAGATCCTTGGAGCAACTACCTAGTTGGTTTTCATCTCACGGGATCCTGGTGATGGCAAGGTGCCTTCAGCTACTTCTGCTTGGAGGCCCGGGCCTCTCCCACCTCTCCCCGGGCCTCCAGCTGCAAATGCTTATGCTACCAATAGGGGTTCGCCTCCCCATCTTCCAGGACTACATCGTAAGTGTTGGTGAGGAGCAGGGAGCGGGGTCTCAGGGGTCTCAGATCCCCCAGCCCCGCTGTGGCTTCCTACCTCGTCTTCCTCCCTGACCCCAGTTTCCCAACGCCTGCTCCGTCGAAGACCTAGGAGTTTGATTTCCCCAGGTTTGGTCTCCACTGTAGTCCTGGTTGGGGTTTGGGGAGGAGAGGAGGGACGGCCCAGGTGAGCGTCCTAGCCTGGGGATGGGTGGGCGCGGGAGGCGCTAAAACCAGGAGCGCTGGCTGTATGGATTTGGAAGTGGAAGGATTTGCCAACCTGACGCTAGAACTGGGGTGAGGCCCCCCGGGTGGTGCGGCGTGAGCCGGATCGCCCTGGATGGGAGGGAGCTGAGTGACCCCACCACCATCACACAGACACACCTCGGCCGAGAGTCACCCACGCGCTCCTCCCCAGGGCCTCCCTGGTGCCAGTCTTCTCGTTCGGGCAGAAGCAGCAATCCTGCAGGTCCCCAACCCGCGGGGCTTGTGGCTGCCGGCGGCCCAGGAAGCGCTGCAGCTACTGCTGAGCGTGGCCCTGCCGTTCTTCCAAGGTTCTTCCAAAGTTGCCAGGACCTACTTCTCCCCTCCCGCGAGCCTGTCCCTACCGGAGGGTGATCCCCTGGCGGCCCCGCCCCGAGCTGTGTCCCGCGGGCCCCTGGCGGCGTGACTGGGCCGGAGCGACCACCTTCTCCAGACTTCTGTCCTGACCGCAGTGTCCCCTGCCCCATTCGTGTGTTCTAGGTGCAGCAGCTCAAGGAGCTCTGGTAGCGTACGTAGTGGTTACGAATCGGGCTGCGAACTTCAGGATCAGCAGTTCGAAACTATCAGCTTGTTCCGCGGGAGAAAGATGAGGCGTTCTGCTCCTGAAAGATTTACAGCCTCGGATACCCTGTACAGGGTCGCTATGAGTCGGGACCGACTCCACGGTACATAACAACAACAACAGGTGCAGCGTCTCACGCAGCTCTTGGAGGACCACAGAGGTGCCACTGCGTCCCCGCACACCGGCCCCTCGTCCTCACTCCGGCCGTCCTAAACTCGCGGGGACCTTGGGGCCCCGGGCGGGGAGTGAAATTAAAGATGGGGAATCAGAACCGGATGTGTATGAGTGTGTGTGTGTGTGTGTGTTCTTGACCCTTGTCCAGATCTGCTGACAGGCCCCAGGCGTGGGTGGGGATTCCGATCCGCTGCGCTGAGATCTATCTCCGGGGGAACTTGCAGTCCTCACCCGAGCGGCAGCCAGTGCTGCGCTCTTTCACCGCCACCGGGACCTGGTCCTACAGGGACCCACTCAGAAGCCTCTTTACGTCT